TCCAGAAAGGTACATACACATTTACTTTAATTAGTCAGTGAACCTGTTTTTTTCTCATTCTTTACATTTACTTCCTACAGTGAGGGAAATCAGTAGGATGTCAGTCATTTGTGTCAGTACTGTGTTCTATGAAAATCCTGTGCACTATAAAATCCTGTTAAATGGCCCATTTAGGATGCAAAGAAAATGTTAAGGGAAGAAGAAAATTGTATTCCAAGATACTACTTTGTAAAGAGTGGGTTATTCTTATAACAAATAATAGCCAGCTTGTCCTTACAGCCTCCTTTGACTTTCTTTCTTCCGTGTCACAAGACATAATGGGTAACTTTTAAAAACTGTTTCATTAAAGGAAGGAATTTAACAAGCAGTGTTGAGTGTTCGCTGCTAACTGTGGGTGACTTGCAGATGAGGAACTATGGTGTAAAGATAAATCAGGCATTCGTCTTTATATACTGCTTAGTGACCGGCTAGCCAGACCAGAGGGTGAAGGGAAGACGTGGGAATGAATGCTGGAATGAGAGTGGAAAAGTGCTGGATTTTGAAGAGAATGAGGAAACAAAGTAAGTGCAAGGACCATTTTTAAAATGCCAGTGGTGTGCAGTGTGACAGTCTGCCATGAGAAATGTGAGTGCTTATACGAATTGATCGATACACTTAGTATCATCTTGTAATCAGAACACTAGTCTAATATTAGCCAATTTTTGCTTAAGTGCCATTGGAGGAACTTTTAAAATATTTTTTGCACCTCCCTGAAAATTATAGCAGGTAGGTCATGCTAAGAAAAACAACTTCTAGAATAAATACAATTTTGACTAAGCCTATTTCCTCTGTACAAACCAGGACACTGTGTTCGTGTTTAATGTTGTCTGGCCTTGAAATTTCATTTCCCTTCAACAGCATGCCTTTCTGTGTTTGTTAGGCCAAACAACTTCTTGTTTTACTTCCTACCTCAGTTCTTGTTCCTCATTGTCACTATCAGTATTAATATTATTATTATTATGTCAGAAAAGAGAAATACTATTTGGGCGTTTTCAAATGCTGCAGATATGCTGGGTTACGTAGAGGAGTGTGATGGGTTTGTATGACTTTCCCAGTTCTTTCTTCTCAATAGCATCCTCCCCCATGCTGTCCTCCGCCCTTCCTTGTTTTAGAAGGTTTCTAATTGTTGGAAAGAACTTCTCATTGATCTCAGTCTATTTCTCATATAATTTTCACTTACTGATCCTTGGCATTCTAGGGCTATGTATGTGAAACACACAATAAATTCTTACAATAAATCTTCAAGTATTGGAAAACAACTATTAAATCCTACTTGAATCATTTTTTTTTTCCACAATGAGGGGAAAAAAGCTAATTCTCAAAAGATATGCACATGACATGGTTTACAGAACTTTCTCCATCCACTTCGCTAACTCATGACAAAGTCTGGTCATCAGTATACCTCTTCAAATACAGTGGCCAGAACTGAACCAACTGCTTCAGATGTGATCTGGCCATCTCTGAATACAATGAAACTATTATCTGGATACTGTACTTCTATTAATGCAGGCTGAAATTTGCATTACATTTTTTGGCAGCCACATTACCCTTTGATCATATTGAGCTTCTGGTCAACTAAAACCTTGTCTCCTTCTCACGTGGGCTGCTTTAAGTCTAATCTTTCTCATTCTTTATTTGCCAGTTGGATCTTTGAAAGTAAATGCAGGATATGAGGTCTTGGCATTACCATAAAAGTTTAAATGAATTTGTCTTTTTCAGATTTCATCCCATTTGACTATCTGGAGATTTGAGCTAACATTTCTATAAAACAGCACAGTTTTCATGGTGCTTTCACATATATTTTAATTTAATCTTCACAACAACCCCCAAGAATCAGAAGAGAGAATGACTTTCCACTAAATCAAGAATTGGCAGATGTGGGACTATGTCACTGGTTTTTTGATAACAGATCCCACGCTCATCTTCTTATCACTGCTCACTTAGTAAGCATTTAACATGCCCTTTACTCTGTGGCCAGCACTCTGGTGCTGGTGCATCAGTGAACCAGACAGAGGACAATCTCTGCCCGCTGGTGTTTGTGGCCTGGCACATAAATAATTACTGCCAGTTGCTGAGCACTTTGTATTGGTAAGGCACTGTGGTGGATTGCTCTATTGTTAAAAAGAATTTGTTGCCTTTCTTTACGAGGGTCCCCTCTGTAGGAGGATTATATTTCCCCTTTGTTGACATCAGGTTTGGACATTTGGCTTTCCTTGACCAATAAAATGTGAGAGGAAGTGACATGTTCCTTGTTTGAGCAGATGTTTTAAATTCCATCTTGTGGTTTTGCTAGTGGCTTTTTTTCCTGTCATGGAACCAGTATCCCTTAGCTAGAGCCAGTCCCAGAATGATGGCACCTTCAGATTGGGTCCCAGAATGATGGAGCAGAGCTGAAGCCGATCCATGACAGAAATTATTAACATAACTGAGAAATAAACCCTTGTGTTGTAGGCACCATGATTTTGGAGTCATTTGTTAACACTAACATAATACATCCCAAACGCAATGTGATGCTAAACATCATTCGAGGTACTAGATAAGACATGGAAGAAGATGTAGGCCTTGTCCTCAAGGAGAGTGCAGTTTTGGTGAATGCATTCAGTGTCCACAGGTTATTGGTAGTTGGGGAAAAGGAGAATATACGTATGGAAAGGACTTTGAAGTTGGGACTCTGCTGACCTTCACCTCACCCCTAGGCTGAATCAGTCAATGTGTTGACTGGGTCTGTGATCCAGCTCCTCGCTGTTAAAACTTCTTATCATTCAAAATTTGATCAGCATGGTTTTCTAAATCCTCATTCAAATCACCTTTGTAAAAAGAAAAAAAGTGTAAGAGGATGGGCTTCTACAGAAAGTCAGCAGAAACTTCTTTCATAAATTTATTAATCAGCATTCACTAGGTAACCTAAGAATCTACCTAGTTGAACTGTTTCACCAACATATCCAGAAAAATACGAGGTCCTAGGTTCCATGTCAGTTATGTTTGTGAGCATTCAGATTTCCCGTTACCACAGCTATGCGTACATCTCACTTTGCATGGGGATATTAGAGAAAGCCCAGGCTGGGATTCTGCGAAGAATTTCCTCACCGTGAGAAGCTAAGGAATATATGCCCAAGGTTCAGGGGAGTACTTGAAATCCTTGAAATAATTATATGTAAAATTTTATGTGAATATACATTGTTGTGGGGTGTAGCGTTCATCACATTCTCAAAGGGAATCGTGATTCCCCTGGGAGGTTATAAGCCCTGTTGTGGGATGAGAATGGAAGTCAAACAAGGATCTGCAGAGTGCCAGGATATAAGGGACAGGTGGGACGAGAACCCAGAAGGGAATCCAAGAAGGAATCATTGGAAAGGGTTGAGGACCAGGAGCAAATATGTTACAGAAGCTGGCTACTTATTTATCATATTTTTTAAAAAAATCTGTTCTAGAATTTTGCATGAATTCTACATGCATCTTCATGGTATTTCTTTATGATTCCTTAGAAGTTACCAAACTTGGAGATATATTTAATGTCTTAGGATACGATTTTTCTTGATCTATAAATACAAATTTAAAGCAATTCCTTCTTCTTTTTCTGTCTCCTTTTTATTTTGGGCTTCAGTTACTTTTTTTCTTTTTTTTTTTCCCTTAATCCTTTTTTACCCTTCCCAGATTAAAGATCATTCTTGTTTAAAAAGGCTGACTCAAGATGGGAATGAAGCAGTCTTTTAGGTTATCTGTAGACAATTGATCCCAAGTAAGGAAACCTGCCTTTGTTATTCTTTAAGTCTTTAAAGTTTTCCTTAGGGCTTCTAACAAATGTCTACCTTTTTAAAACAACTTTATTGAGATATAAATTGTTAACACAGTAAATTGCACATATTGAAAATGTACAGTTTGATAAGCCTTGACATATATGTATGCCTATAAAACCATCACCATTGGGATGCCTGGGTGGCTCAGTCGGTCTGCCTTCAGCTCAGGTCCTGATCCCAGGGTCCTGGGATCAAGTCCCACATTAGGCTCCCTGCTCAGTGGGGAGCCTGCTTCTCTCCCTCTCCCTCTGCTTGCTGCTACGTCTGCTTGTGATCTTAAAATCTTAAAAAAAATTTAAAATCTTAAAATCTTAAAAAAAAATCACATTCAAGATACTGAACATATCCATCACCCCCAGAAGTCTCTTAGTAATGTCCCCCATTTCTCTCCAGGCAACCACTATTTGTTGTCCTTCACTTATATTCGTTGGCATGTCCTAGAATAAAGTTTATACTCTTTTTTGGTCTACCTTCTTTCCCCAACATGATTATTTTGAGATTTATCCATGTTGTACCATGCATCGATAGTTTATTCCCTTTTTATTGCTAAGTAGAATTCCATTGTATGGATATACTGGAGTTTGTGTGTCCATTCACCTCTCAATCGATACTGGGTTATTTCTAGTTTTTGACTGTTAAAAATAGAACTGCCATGAACATCCACATACATGTCTTTGGATGGATGTATGCCCTCATTTCTCTTGGGTAAATACCGAAGAGTGGAGTGGATGAACCAATCATATGGTAGGTGTAGGGATGTGTGTGGGTGTGTGTGTGGGGGTGTGTGTGTGTGTGTGTGTGTAGAGTGAGAGATTTTAAGAAATCAGATCACACGATTGTGGGAGTTAGCAAGTCCGAAATCCACAGGCTAGGCCAGCAGGCTGGAACCTCAGGCAAGAGAGTTGATGTTGCGGTCCTGAGTCCAAAGTCTGTAGCCTACGCCCGCAGGCTGGAAATTCAGGCAGGATTACTATTCCCGTTTTGAAGCAATAATTTTGTCACTTTCTCCACAAAAAAACAAAAGCCCTGTTCCAAGCTCTAGAATTATAGGAGTAAAAAAGATAAGTAAGGTTCCTGCTCTTTTAAAGCTTCTTTCCTGGCAGGTTATGACAGGAGAGGCAGGCCGCAAACAAGTAAAGGAATAAACAAACCAAATAATTTCAGGTTGTGATAAGAGCTATGAAGAAAATGAAGGAGATGAGACAAAGAATTCCTGGGGCGGGGAGCCCATTTCTGAGAAGGCCGGCGGGGAAGACCTATTGGAGGGAGTGGTGTTTCAGTAGAAACCCCAGAAGGATTCGAAGGAACCAGGTATGTGATCTACATGGAAACGTGTCTGGCAGAGAGAAGAGTGAGTGCACAGCCTCTAAAGTGGGGAAGAGTTGGCACATTGGAGTTGCTGAGAGAGAAGCCTGGAGATGCTGCTGGAGAAGAGAAAAGTCAGGGCAGTGTGTATAATGTGTTACAGGCCACAGTAAGGAGATTGGATTTTATTCTAAGTGCAGCGGGAAGCCACGGGAGGGTTTTAAGAAAGAAAGTGGCATGTATATTGGATGGAAATGTTCCATGGACCTTTGGAAACATTAATGTAGCTGAGTCAGCTATATACATTAGCGCCACTTGGATTTCTCATTGCCCAGGAAACATTAAACTACTTATTTTTCCTGATAAAAAAATCCTAACCAGTTTCTATCAAAGCCAAGTCTGTGTTATCTAAAGCAAATACTATTTAAGTCTTTTAAATTTCACTAAGATTTTTTATGCACTTGTATGTATTTTCAAAAATAGTGTTTTCTGGATTTTTTTTTCTTTTATAAGTACGTGTGGCAGTTGACTAGCAGCTGTAAAGAGCACAACTTTAGTTTCAGGTATGAGCATAATTACTGACCACATGAAAGCATTTGATAAATATTAACAGATCTTGATTTCATCATAGAATCATGGAATTGTTGAGCTGAATGGACCTTAAGAATTATTTAATCTTAATTCCTTTCATAGAGGAGGCAGTTTAGATCCAGAAAGGTTAAATGGGTCACATGTAAACACATAAAATAAAATTTAAAATAAGCCTGGTTTTTATTATCCCCCAGTTGCAGGATGAGAGATTCTTGAGGCCAAATATGGAACCAGGGAAAAGACTGTGTCATCAGTTTGCTTTACATTTGCTGTTGCATATTTATTTTACATCTATGCTTTTTTATACTTACCCCTGGATTGAGGAAATTGAGATGAATCAGACAGGCCCTCTCTTAGTATGGAGACAGACAAGTAAACAAACGGTTACCATATACATTAAATGCCACTATAAGACAAGCGTAGTGTGTTGTGGGTGTAAGTGATGTGCGTGTCTGTTGAGTGACTCTTAAGTTCGGAGTCTGTTTACCTGCATGATTGAGTGCCTGACCCCTTGTGTAGTATATACTGTGTTGTCTCTGCTATTTGGCCTTTCCTGTGCTTTTTTGCCGCCCAGCCATAGCCCTGGGCTAAACTTAAGCCAATTTGAAGGCCATATGTCGGACCATATCTGACCAGTAAGACTTGTCTCGACAGCTCTGCTCCTGCCACTTGAGAGCACTGAGACCTCAGGATGTACCCATGGCCAGTGATAAGCCACCATGACAGCAGCATGTCTTATTTTGAATAGAAACCCATTTAGAGATGAATTTAAGAGTACTTGATCTTGTATTTCTCCTCTCAAGTGAGCAGATTTCATTAATTCTTAATTTTGAAAAATTTTTAAAGGAAATAGAAACATCGATTTTTTATTTTGACTCATTTACCTTTTTACTGTATTTGGGAGATGGGGTGGCCATTCCTAAGAAAACTAGCACATGAAGTTCGTTGTTGATGTTCTAACATGTTCTGAATCTTAGAGCCCCCAAAATGCATTGAGAGAACAGGTAAATAAAATAGCACTGCTGTAGGGGCGCCTGGGTGGCTCAGTCGTTAAGCGTCTGCCTTCGGCTCAGGTCATGATCCCAGGGTCCTGGGATCGAGCCCTGCATTGGGCTCCCTACTCCGCGGGAAGCCTGCTTCTCCCTCTCCCACTCCCCCTGCTTGTGTTTCCTCTCTCACTGTGTCTCTCTCTCTCTGTCAAATAAATAAATAATATCTTTAAAAAAAAAATAGCACTGCTGTAATTAAAGGAGGAACAGTAGTTTCCTTTTAAGCCTTTCTCTTTCAAGAGCTTATAATTTTCTACATAACCCAAACGCTGTCCCATGGGCAGGTATGTTTTATTCTTACCCTTGATTCTGTATTATAAAGTTTGATTAAAAAGGGAAAATAGTAACTTTTTGTCTCCCACATGAAGAATGGTCATATTTGCAGGGTTGGTTTGTTTGGTAATAAGATGGAGTTCCATACCCCTGAGCCTGCCGTAGTTTGAAGAAGAATATCAGTATCTTTTATCTACGAGAAATATCTGTGACATGGGGTGTGTGTGTGTGTGTGTGTGTGTGTGTGTGTAAAATCAAAACCTGCAAATATACATTGGCAAGAATATTAGATGATAATTCCTGATGACTGTATTATATTTTCACAGAGTATTAGAAAACAGGCAGTTTTGACAGTCTATTATAGTAGGTGATCAGGCATTCTCCATCTCTTGGGTCATATGAGGATAAAATTATCCATCTCCATTATCTCCCAGACCTTATGAGGAAGAGAGGTAGAATTTTAGACATGTGAACTAAAAAATTGGACTGAAGTTAGCAGTCTAAAAATGATAAAACCAAGTTGTTTGCATAACTGTGTCCTCCTGCCTTTATTTTGTGTAGACTGAGAAACTGAACTATAGAGGCATTTTCTGTGGAAGGTAAATAAAGCTATCTATCATGAATGATTTTAGCTTGTGTAGAAAACATCTCCAGCTGTACTAAATATAAAACTGTCAGCTCTCCGAAGGTGTCTGCAATTATTACTCATCTTACTTGACAGAGGAGGCCTGTGGCATGGGTGAGAACGGGCTCTGGAGCCAGGCTGCAGGGTTCAGAGCCCGGCCCATCAGCTACTGTGTGGTTCTGGGCAGACTGCTTTCTGTCTCATACTCCTCATTTACGAAACAGAATAATACCAGTACCTACCTAACGGGGCGTTAGGAGGATTAGGTGTGTTAATGCACATGGCTCATTAAGAACACTGCTGCCACAAACACAATAAGCACCGGATGCGTGTTAACAGTTATTATTGATGCACGGCTATAATATATTTAAGTGGCTGCTTTTACTGGTCAAGTTTTCACAGGGAATTTGGCATTTGAACTAGGCCTTGGTGGATAAACAGGATTCATAAAAGGGAAATAGAATTGAACATGGGAAAAGCTGTGTGAACAAAATGGAAGAGGAGGTAAAGAATCTGTTTCTCTTCTTTTCTCCTTCCATTTATTGCATATTAGCTGTGTGCCTACCCCTGAGCTCTGCATTTGGGGAACGTTAATTATCTCAGTCAGTCTTCACAATAACCCTACAGGATAGATACTTTCAATTCTCATTTTACAGATGGGAAAGTAGCCACAGAAAAGTAAAGTCACTTTGCCAGAGTCACAAAGTTAAATCTTGGCCTACTTCTGTCTGATTGTAGAGCTCTCACGTTCTTTATTATTATCCAATACTGCCTTCCTAAGAGACTATCGGAAGAGGATTAAAAAAAAAATTTAAAGGGTGAAGGCTCCACGGTTGGCGTTCTAAACGTTAACAGAATTACGGTATTAGGGATGCATGTGATCATTTTGTCACAGTGAGCGACTCTGGATACTGTGTATGCTAGTCCTTTCAAAAGATAGAAATGTGCATGCCAGTGCTTTCTGAATGCGTTTCCCCCGGCATTTGAACAGAACGACCGTATTTTGGTTGCTAAAGTTTTTATTTTTCTTATTATTAATTATAGATACAGCGAACAACTCAGGTGCTAGCCTTTATAAAACTAGAATAAGACGTAAATGAACTAGAATCTTGGCAACCAAGATCTTTCCCTAGAATGGATCCTTCTCTCTGCCCTTTTTTTTTAAATTTTATCATGTTATGTTAATCACCATACATTACCTCATTAGTTTTTGATGTAGTGTTCCATGATTCATTGTTTGCGTATAACACCCAGTGCTCCATTCAATACGTGCCCTCTTTAATACCCATCACCAGGCTAACCCATCTCCCCACCCCCTCCCCTCTAGAACCCTCAGTTTGTTTCTCAGAGCCCATAGTCTCTCAAGGTTCGTCTCCCCCTCC